AAGGGGAGAGGTGCATGGTCTGGGGAGGCAGGGCCTGCTGGGAAGCTGGTGCTCACCCCATGTGGGTCGGGGGGCTTGCATGGGGGTGGGCTGACAGTGCCTTTTGGTGTTGCTCAATTGTGTGTGCTGTTGCAGGTAATGGGAATGGTCCGTGTTCCCTTGTACACCCAGAAGGACCGCATGGGTGGGCTGCCGAACTTCCTGGGGAACTCCTTCATCGGGACTGCTAAATTCCAGCTGCTCTTTGCCCTGAAGGTCTTGAATATGGTTCCTGAAGAGAAGCTGGTAGAGGCTGTGGCTGCCACCCAGAAGCAAAAAGAGCCGGCAGCCGTGACTGGCAACGTGAAGGCAGCTGCGCCAGCCAATGTGACAGCCGCTGCGACGGCCGCTGCAACGGCCAATGCAACGGTAGCTGCGACAGCCAATCCACCAGTGGCTAAACCAGAAAATGCATCTGCACGTCAGCCTCCAGCTGTATCAGTGGCTGAGCCAGCGGCTAAGCAAGCAGCAGAGTCTGTGATAGGGCCTGCGGCCAAGCCGGTAGCTGAGCCCAAGGCTGAGTCTGCAGCTGAGCCGGTAGCTGAGCCCATGAATGAGTCTGTGGCAGAGCCAGCAGCGGAGCCCAAGGCTGAGCCAGCGGTTGAGGCTATGGCTGAGTGATGGATTGTTCTGTGTCAACTTCTTTAAAATGGGTAAAGAGACTAGAGACGTTCCTGTCACTGGCTGCAAAGGCCATCCGCTCGACTCCACCACCGCGCTGGTCAGGTGGGGCGGGATTCATTTGCCTGAGGCAATGGAACGCTGTATTTTGTAAGGCCCATAAATAATAGCAAGCTTTCCAGATCTCCTAGCAGCCCCTCCGCGGTCTGTGTGCTTACAGGACTCTTAGAATGCTTTAACTTCCAGGGATGCTCAGCCCACACCCAGCTTAGGTATTGTTTTAATGAACAGAAATGTTCCTTTTTAAATTGAGACAGTGAGTTTTTAGCCCCCAGCAGCAGTATTGTGAACCCAGTCACAGCTGTGTTTGGGGATGGGTAAACAAACCTGATTGAAAAGAGACAAGTCTGCCAGCTCTAGCTCCATGCCATGTGCAGAAATGAAGTGGCTGGCCTCCAGTGGGCCTAGTCTAAGAGTGCTCCTAGTGTTCCCAGGTTACTTTGGGACCCATGGAAGCTAAGGTGGAAGCTTAGCTGGCTGGTGTCGGCTCCCAGGTGGCTTAGGCTGAGCCCCCGTGGGGTGCAGAAAGGTGGGATGCGTGTGTGGCTTTGCATCTGGAGAGTTGGGGGTGCAGGAGAATGAAATAAATGGCTTTGCTGTACTCGTTTGCTGTCTTCCCATGAACACTGGCGAGCGTCAGGGACGTGATGTGAGTGTGCAGTCATAGTACTCGGTGCTAGGCACTCGCATGCGGAGTGGGGCTGTCTGCAGGGACTTGACTGCTGGCAGCTTCTCTTTGCTGAGATAGGAGACTAATGGCTGTTGTCCTGGACTTAGCCCCTTCTGACTAGGGCAATGGCTCTTAAATGGCACCTCTCTCCTCGATTGCTGTTTTCAGTTTAACTGTCTCGCCCCTTGTCCTTCAGTCCACCCTCACCCACAACCTTAGTCACTTCCAAACACTAAAGTGGAACTGGGACAGTTCTTAGTGGGAGATTGCCACATCTGGACTAGCCACTCCTGGACTTGCTTCCCCAATATGATTGGAAACTATTCCCGGGACCCTTCTCAGGCACTGGCTACAGCCAAACCCAGCTGGCCAGATACACCCGTGTCTCCAGTGGGGTTGACTGGAGTGCCTCAACCATTGTCAGTGTCTTGTGAAGGTGGCAATTCCTTCTGCATAATCTGCTGCAGCACCTTGCTGATGGCATGAGTCACATCCTGCCCACCTGGGAACCAAACTGATGGCTCCCTGCTCCTATGGTCAGGCATGCTGTTGCCATTCATTTACAAGGCTCTGCACACTCAACAGGTGGGGTCACTTCAGTTGTCTCTGCACCAGCTTCCAGCAGATCTTGCTCTCCCTGGGTCCTAGGCTGGAGCCCGATGCTGCCTTATCTGTTTAGGTACTTCTACCAAGCCCCTTGCTTTGGTCATGGATCAATCACTCTGGGCCAACGGAGTTCTCTAAACATAATAGTTCCCTCCCTTGGGCCCCTCTCTGACAGCTCAAACTGCTGTAAGAGGCTGGAGTAGATTCCTTGATGCTTGGCAAAGTGCTTTGCTTCCAAGACTGGCCTCAAACCCAGCAGTGGCCATTCTCTTGCTCTCTCCCCCTTAATGCTTTCAGGGTGACTGGTGGGGGCTGCTCTAAGAACCAGCAGAGCCAGGCCCAGCTGGGACCCCATTTTAGTCAGTTAACTGGTTAAATGTTTAACCTGATGCTTCAGCAGTTAACTGAGGTTTTATATTCCTAGTCCTTGGCTGTGTCTACATTGGCGCAATCTTGCACCAAAGCAGCCACTTTTGTGCAAAAACACTGACATTCTAATGTGTGAAATCAGTGCTGCTTGTGCAAGAACTGTGATGCTCCCGCTCAGGAATAAGCCCTCTTGGGCAACTGTTCTTGCGCAAGAGGCCAGTGGAAACATGAATTTCTTCGGCAAGAAAGCCTGATGGCTAAAATGGCCATTGGAGCTTTCTTGCGTGCGAGAGCGTCTACACTGACACAGATGCTCTTGAGCAAAGGCACATGCCAGTGTAGACGCTCTTGCGCCTACACAAGAGTTCTTGCATTAAGAGTATTTGCGCAAGATCGTGCTAATGTAGACGTAGCCCTTGGTTTTAAGGAATATCAGTGTGTCCCTGCAGTGGATCTATCATCCCAATGTGCTACAACAATACATTACAAGGACAGACTGATGGGATTAACTCCTACCACTGCCATTCCATTGACACAGAAGGCCCATTGGTGATCCCAAGTGTCACAGGCAAAGCCCTTCAGCAATGCTCCCTGCTGCAGTTGGTAGGGACAAACTTTGTCTGGGCAGATAGCCCAGTTAGCTGGCCCAGTGCCAAAAGCGAACAGCTGCCTTTATAGCATCTGTGTTTATGGAGTGCACCACTGTGCACTTGCCATTGATGAGCAGTTTCAATCCAAGCTGAGGATTGACAGCAAGCAGGAGAATCACAAAAGAAAAGACCCTTTTAATTGAAGACATTTAGAGAGACAGGCTGACTGTGGCAGCAATATGCTCTTCAATAAATAACGGTGCAGTAGGGTAGCAATAGGGTGGTGTGTGACTGACAAGCCTGTGCAACAGCTGAGGGGCATGGTAGATAGGACAAGTTGCTCATCTCTGGCCATGCTCTTGTGCTGGAGTGTTGAAGGTTAGAATGTGCAACAGCCCAGGGTACAAGACCCAGGCAAACAGGGAAGAAACAGCTTCCTTATTGTACAGCTGTTTCAGAAAGACATTCAAGTGCCAGGCAAACCCAATGCACACCAAAGCAGCTTTAGCAACTAAGTAAACCTTCATGCACAAGTACACAGTTTTTAAAAACTGAACTAGGTAAGAAAATACAAAACCAGTTACTGCAACTTAGAACGGAATCTGGCTGGAGCCACTAGATCAAGAGTAATTTACATTGGTATATTCATGGTCCAAAAATACTGTAGGGGAGGAGACATGATTGAGAGCTCAAACAGAGCAGCTGGCTAAGTCTGCTGAGGCAGGGAGCTGGCCTTGGATTGGTGCCCCTATAATTAACATTAGAGGGCAGCCTCCAGGCAGCATGACCAGGACTAGTTCCAACTGGCAACTCCTACCCCACAAGCCATTCTTCCAGGGGCCTGGGAAGATCTCAGGTGCAGAAGGGAGAGCTCAGGGACTCAGCACAGGTAGGCTGCATCTAGACTGGCAAGTTTTTCCACAAAAGCAGGTGCTTTTGTGGAAAAACTTGCCAGCTGTCTACACTGGCCACTTGAATTTCCGCAAGAACACTGACGATCTCATGTAAGATTGTCAGTGTTCTTGCGGAAATGCTCTGCTGCTCCCGTTCGAGCAAAAGCCCTCTTGCGCCAATGCTTTTGCGCAAGAGGGCCAGTGTAGACAGCACAGTACTGTTTTGTGCAAAAAAGCCCCGATCACAAAAATGGTGATTGGGGCTTTCTTGCGCAAAAGCGCGTCTAGATTGGCACAGACGCTTTTCCACAAAAGTGCTTTTGCAGAAAAGCATCCGTGCCAATCATGCCAGTCTAGACGTAGCCGTACAGTGGGAAGAAATCAAAAGCCCCCCCAGAAGCAAGCTGCCAGCCACCCATTACGCAAGGGCTGTGATGGGCAAGGCCTTTCCCCTCAGGCCAGATGTCTTGCTGTGCCCCTATGGCAGCCCCGCAACTGAAAGAACCTGTTCCTCTGCAGCACAGAGGCATAGGGCAGCTGCACCCCTCCCCTTTTGATACCTGTGCATCAGAGCAGGCTAACTCAGCCAGGCCCTCCACTTCATGAGCACATCCCTATTAAAAATGCAGTATGTGCATGGGGATAGGGCAGGGAGCAAAATTCCCCTCCCCAGGGAAAGCCCATCAGTCTTAGGATGCCCAGCCCACTCCGGGGCTAGAGCAATGCCAGTCTGCCCACCCAGGGGCAGGCCAGAGCTCATAGCAGTCAGGACGTGGCATGTCCCCCACTCCTAGCTGCAGAGACAGCAGGGTGTCAGTGAGGTGCATGTTCAGCCCTTCGATGTCTCCTCCCCCTCTTAGCCCCCACCCAGGCAGTAAGGTGGCCTTCCCTGGCTGCAACACAGGGGAGAGGAAAGCTCAGGCTGCTGTAAGTCGGGCAGAGGGAGGCTGCCCTCTCTGTGCAGATCTCAACAGGCCCAGCGCATCATGAATATAAGGCCCACTACTCACTTCACTGTGGTCAGTGCTGGGAGCAACTGCTTTCAGGACCCTCCCCCCCCACGCAGAGTAAATGCTGCCTTAAGCCACTCAACCAGGCCAGCACTGCTGGCTGGGGCCCAGCCCCATTCTCCACATAGCAACCAGGCTAGACAGTTGGAGCAGGGGTGAGCGGCCGCCTCTCCCCCAAGAGCGCTCCAGCAAACGGGGAACCAGCTCGTAATCCCCTCCCGCATACAGAGCACACCAGTATCAGGACCAGGGCAGCAAGAAACACAAGGAGGTGGATGGACCAGTCTGAGAAGTTCTGTTTGGGGGCTGTTGGTCCAGCCCCAGGAAACAGGCTTGGCTCAGCAGAGCCCTTTAAAAAACCCACTTCTAAGCTGCTTAACCGTCCCAGCACCTGGTGAGATCCACAGGCCCCTCACTGGGAATGAGGCAACAGCACCTGCCCCAAGGACTCCCCCTGCTGCCTCTCAGCCACACCCACTGGAGCACCCTGGGCGGTGCCGCACCGCACGGACAGCACTACTCTGCTCAGCTCCCATTCGGGATTGGGTTTGGGAGAGCCCTGGAGCTAGGACACTGGCAGAGGCCCTGAGTGGGAGGACATGATTCCTACCTAATACCCTCTACAGCGCCCCTTTGACTTGTGGAGAACGGATTTAAGAGCCCGCCGGCCCGTCTCCACAGTAACTTCCCCCCTCCCACTCCAGCAGCAGCGACAACACAGCAGCTTTTGTTCCACACTTCCTTGGCCAAGGCCCAGTTTTGAAGCAGGCACATGAACAGTGGGGATTGGGATACAGAGCTGAGGGGCAAAGGAGGGCTGAGAGGGGGCCAGGCACTGACCACAGTGGGTGCTTTGCTCTCAGGATAGTGCAGCTGTCTCAGCTGTGTATTTCAATGTCCTGTTAGCATGTAGCCCTGTGGCCCTGAGGTCGCTAATGCAATACGGGAGGCTGAGGCCTGCTGCCCTTTGGGAAGGTCAATGGTTGGAAGTGCCATATGGTGAGAAGTGCCCTGCACAAGTCTTGTGCAAACAAAGCAAGCATTTCACTGCTGACAATCCCATTGCAGTCTCCACCCGGCCTTTGATCCCAGACTCATGCCAGGGCCCCAGGGAGGCTGTCCTGTGGCGTAACCCCCTCCATTTCTCTCGGGGCCCACAATCTCTACAAACAACTGGGACAGCAGCTAATTTTCAGCACGAGCAGCGATCTGTGCACGAACCTTGCTCCCAAACATCCTGCAGGAGGATAACTGAGGCTCCCAGAGCAGCACAGTGGAAGGGAATGGAGGTGGCTCGCTCCCCTCTCTAGGAATAACTGTACATCTCCCCACAGCGCTCCTGGGGAGCGCTAGGATCTAGACAATCTACATTTCACTATGAAACAGCAATTTCAATCCCTGTCTTCTACTGTAGCGCATCGTGAATCGGATGCTTCTTTTTAAGTCAGGGGTTGGTGACGATCCCTGTGCATCTCAGCAGCAGTTTCCTTCCTGTGTGTGGGCAGGAGTGTTACCAGCAGCAACACAGACTCTGCAGCAGGAGTCTGGGAGCCCAACAGAAATGTGCCCCATTCCCACCTGCCCCTGAACTGAGAGGACACGGCCCTGGCCCTCTGGTGTGTTGTGGCCTCTAACATAGTGCTCAGTGCATGCTGATTGCCTTATTCCCGGCCCTGCCTCTGCTACGGCAAAGCAGACAATCGCATCCCACACACCTGTGGGCATCTAGGTGAGAGCTGGCCAACAGCAAAGGGCGAGGGAGGAGAGAGGAGGTATACCATGCGCACAGGGCCACCACGGGAAGGGGTTCCTGCCCATAGCATGTCACACCCCTTATGAGTGGGCAACAGCTGTTAAGCCACACAGGAGTCCTTGGCACCCTGGGCCAAGATGACAAATCAGGGCTGCAGCAGGTCAAGCCTATGTCTGCCAAATCTCAGTCAATCCACAGACGAGTGGTCAATTTGAAGAGGCTGGGTGGTTGATGGGAAACCAGCATCACAAGAATCAGTGCGGAGCCAGATGAGTCAGGAGGTAAAGGGAAGAATGATCCTATTGAAGACAAGAGAACAGCTGTCGGAAAACCACGGAAGGGCTGAGTATCTGCACAGACAGGACAGCCGCTGTGCTTTGCAGAGCAGAGTGGGAGCCCCGGCTCTGGAGCCCTGATGGGTGGGTGGGGGTGGGGGAATCGGGGCCTCAAGCCAGGAGGCATTCTGCCATCAACTGTAACAAGAGAGGCAAGTTGCCTGTGTACAGCCCTGCACAGAGGGCTCCCAGGGTGCAGCTCTCTCGGAACCCGGGCTCTAGCGGTTTCCAAGAGGCTGAATGCACACTGAGCCACACGGCCTGTGTTACTTGGGCTCTAGCTTTAGCCTCCTGCCTCACATGCTACCGTGGGGCTTTGTGCCAGCATCTTGCTGCAGTGCAGGGCTCCAGAGAGAAGGTAAACACCACTCCCACCGCTGCCTACCTCTCACTTTGCCGACACCCTCTGCTGGGTCACGTTGCCCGGCTGTATTCAATGCCGCTCTTTGCGGAAATGCCAGGCCATGGCAGCAGGCTGCGGAGCAGGCTCTGGGCTTGGCGGTATATCCGGTGAGGGATCGAGCAGGGGCTCAGGCTGGCGAGCGTTGAGCCAATGTGCTGTAGGTAGTCAGTGAGCCTCAGTTAAGGACAACAAGGACATTTACAGTGAAAGGTAAAGCCACTTAGAACACTGCCCTGAGAGCAGCTGTAGCAGGACAGTACTAAGCAACCGGAGCTAGGCCAGGCCAAGCAGCAATGGGCGCAGGGACAACGGTGCAGGGCTGTACCGCACAGCAAGAGGACAACGGCACTTTGGGAACATTCTCTGCAATTTGCCCAGGAAATGTGTTAGCCAAATAACCACTCCTGTCCCTTTCAGTCCCAGCATTCCAGCTGCTGGAGCCATGGCCCAGCTGGCTGCGGAGGCGAAGGGACTTTAAGCTCTCCCCTCAAAGTACATCCAATAAAGTAGTTTGTCATCCCGGTTCTGTATCCGCCCTGCCTCGGGGGAGAGCGTGAATCCCTCGAGCCATTCAGAAGAGTTCAATAAAATCTCTTTCAGCAGCAGGCTTCTAGCTGCATTTGGAGTCCAGCACACCATCAGTGGTGAGAAGGCGCCACTCTGCATGACCACAACCTTTAGCAGGTTTGGGATACACCCAGCAATAGGGCAGACACTGCCTGTCTTCTCTGGACAGAAGAGCTCACTAGCCCCTTAACACGACGGCCTGACATCATGTCCCCAATCACGTCAGTAACTGAATCGTTAGGAAGGCACCGGTCAAACCATGGCACAGCAGAGCAGTCTGTTCAACCTGCAGCCCAGACCGGGTCAGGTGTTGCTGTAGGTTGGGATTATGGCTTTGGATACTAAGAGTCGCTAGCCCAGCTGTGTCAGCTAGGAGTGTGGGGGTGGGAAATCACACCTCTAGCCAGCACAGCCCCCCGGCCCCCAGTGTAGACACAGCTATGCTGCCTGAAGGGTGCTTCTGTCGGTATCGCTATTCCCAGCTCCTCGAACAACATGAGCTCTGCTGACAGCTTCAAGTCTGGGCTCCTTCTCCACGCGTGGGCTCTGTGGGCACAGCTATGCCAGCAAAGCAGCTGTAAGGTCCACGAGCCCTGAGCCAGCACTGACAGAGCCATGTGGGGAGTTTAGGGCTGGAGCCACACGTCTTGCCTAAGGGGAGTCAGCTGAGCTGTGCTGAGACACTCCACACAGTGCCCGTTCACACCACACCTGGTCTTACCTAAACAGCTTCACTAGCATCAGTCCCCAATCTAGACCAGATCTGCAACCCATCCCCCACAAGAGACGCACTGCTCTTCTGAACGGCCCAGGAAGTCAGGCACGAACATGCCAGAGACCAAACCAGATCTCCTTTGGAAAGTAAGGAATCCAGGTGAGACACACCCATCCTTAAGGTGGGACCAATCACCAAATGACACCGGACTTGCTTTGCAGCACGTGCTTTACCCAAATACCATGCGTTTCCAAGGTAAAGGATATAAGATTGTCCACGGAGGGTGTCCACCATTGATGTAGAGAACGTAGGTGAAGCCGTCTTTGAGGACCCCTCTGATGGAGTAATAATAGGGCAGGTAGTGGTGCTGTCTAAAGTCTCTATTTTCGTAGAAGTTAATTGCCGTGTTGTTGGTGGTGAGGACATGCAAGTAAATGGCTTTGCAGTGGTCTTGGGCAGTTGTCGAGATATGATCCTTCAGGCTTTCAAGTAAGAGGGAGCCTGTCAAAGGAAGGAAGAGCAGCATTACACAGAGCAGCTCCCGACCCCTCTGACGGGCAATGAGGGTTGGGCAGCTGGGAGCCCTAACCCCGTGCACCGGTCATCTCAGCCTGTGGACAACGCTCCTGGAGCTTTCCTCATTGTCATTCACTCTCTTCAGAACAGCCAGCAGGCCCTGGGTTGGTCGGTCTGAAGAGACTCTTGCCTCTCTCCAGTGCTGGGCTTTGGAAAACTCAAGGCTGTAGTGGGTTGGAGCAGCTCCTCCCAACAGCCACGGGCTTATGGTAGGAATCTGTAGGACCATAATGAAGGTCAGACATCTACACCTGTAATTCACCCACCCTCCTGGCAGAAGACGCCACCTTCATTGAAAGGTACACTAAGCAGCAGGCAACTAAAGGCTCAAAAGGAGGTCCCATAAGTCCTGGCAGCACCAAGTTTCGCTAGGTCTGCACTCACGTGGAATATCGCTGAGCCTCATTTGCATACCTAATGAGCTGCCATTTTTGCAGAAGAAGCTCTTGCACCAGAAGGAGCTGTCTACACTGCCCCTTACGCACGAAAAACCCTCTTGCGCAATGCCGTTACGCCGATTATTTTCAGGAATAACGGCATTGAGCAAGAGGGTTTTTCTTGCGCAGGAAGGGGCAGTGTAGACAGCTCCTTCTGGCACAAGAACCTCTTCTGCAAAATGGCGGCTCATTAGCTACGCAAATGAGGCTCGGTGATCGTCCACAAAGCCTCATTTGCATATTTCTCGTGCAAGAAGCTGCGAGTGTAGACATAGCCTAGGGGTTTTTTGGAAAAAGCTCTCCACAATTTGCGTAGCTTTTTCCCGATTGCTTTTCCCGAAGAGGCTTTTCCTCCATAAATGGCACTCCCCGTAGAATGAGGTATACAGAGCTCCCCAAAAGAGCATGTTTGCTCTTCCGCAAAAAAAAGCAGAAGAGCAAATGCGTTCCCTGGACGCGGCAGTTTTTTTCTGGGACACCTCTGGTATCCCGGAAAAACCCTGAAGCGTAGACGTACGCTTTAAGTCCCATGGTGAAACGGGCTCTTGTATATGAGGATACAACTGTTCCAAGCCTCTCAAAAATCTTACTGATAGCTTTACTAGAAAAACCAAGCGCTCAGCAGCCTGACAGAGGAAAGGAGAGCATGCTTCTAGGTGGACTCTGATGAAACTAACAGGCAACTCCCGCTGTGTTAGCTACAGATATGCCAAGATATGCTGGACTTCGGGCAAATTCTAGATCGGCAAGACCAGAGAAAAATGGTTCCACTTCAAGAAGTAACTAGATCTAGTAGGTAGTTTCCTATTATTGAAAAGCACATCCTGAACCTCTTGAACACTCCTCCTCCCTAGAGTCTAACGATGGAACATCAAGGCTGTTTCACAAACTGGCAGACAGTTCATGAAACAGGTGACCATGATCTTGAGACCCTACGTCAGGGCTGTCATGGAAAGGGAGCTACAGGCACAAGCTGGGCATGATCCAATCTGATTTTTATCAACGCTCTGTGAAGCAGTGGGAGAGCATCCAGGAACTTGCCTGTCCAGGGCAACAGGAAAGTGTCCAGGACCCTGCCGGCACTTCCTGTCTGTTCTCACTGCAAACAAGTCTACCTGTCTGCAGCTGGAAAACAAACTGGCTACATCTGGACAGAAAGACAGCTCCTGGGGAGTTGTAAGTGACCTTCATGCGGGCAGCTGACTTGCCTCTTCCCAGGCTGCTGAGGTAGAACACGCCCATTGCTCTGTGAGAACGAGCAGGCTTTTCCCTGTGACTTGGGACAGTAGAGCTAGCCAACTGGTGCCTCAAGCTTTCAATTCCCTGACTCCGCACATAAACGTCAAGTCCTGTGTGGACAATAACCCTTGCATTTTTGTCATGGGCACTCATTTGAGTTGATGTGTCACTCACGTACTGGTGCACAAGCAATCAACTCTGTTCAGGGGTGGGGAAAAAGTTAGAGGGAAACTGACTCTGATCCACATAAATAGACTATTTCTTGATTCCTCCTTGTTCCCTCCCCCCATTTTTGAAAGAGCTGGAGAAGGTGTCAGACGTTTGCAGCCTCTGAGGCCTGTGGTTCTTCCCCACAGCACAACGCAAGCACAGTCTGAGCAACAGCATTGCCTGCTCTGCCTTCCATCAATATCAGCATGTCCTAACCCTGTCCTGGGGGGACCAGCTAGATGGAGCTGAGGAGTTCCATCTCTGTTTAGTCCCTCCCATCCCAGGTCAGCCAGGGCCGTCTGCTTTGGTCCCCGCTGTACCTCTTCCTTTGAAATGTACAAGAGCCGCCTACAGCTCTTGTACATTTCAATGGGAGAGAGGCAGCAGTCTGGACCCGGCGTGAGCAGGGACTGCTTTGGTCCCTGCTCGCGCCGTTTCCCCCGCTGCACCTCTGCCTCTCCTGCCCCCCTCTGCGGAGATGGTGTTTTTAAGCTGGCTCCCCCCCTTGGTGCCTCTGATGCAGAGGCAGCAAGCAGGGGAAGCGACTAGTCAAGCAGTGACTTGACTACCTGATATGTCGAGGCTTATCAGGTATTCGACTAGTCGCTCACATCCCTGCTCTGCGGTGGGCAGAGTCAAGGCATTCAGTTCTGTAACCTTCACCCGTACACCAAAGGCTAGTCACAAGGAGTAAATAACCCACACAGTGGACTGGTGCTCAGCAATAGACACAGAAGCTATTTAGAATGTTCTTACCTATTCCATGTTTTCTAAATTCTTTCACCACTCCTAGACTTAAAATGTAAGCAACTTGAGTATCGACCGGAAAGTTGGAAGCTAGGATATCTCCATCCTGAATAGAGAACACGACAGACATTTAGTAGAGTACATGTGTGAATCTCGGTATAGCTCAGTGTATAATGTCAAAACAAAGCAAGCAACTATTCACAGAAGCATTTTCTTATCCTAGCTGTCTTTATGGAGCTGTTGGAAATGGGGAGATAAGACACAGCCTCTGAAATGGAGGAAAAGGAAAGATCCCATTTGGGCTGAGGAAGGGAGTTCTGCTATTTTCATATTTCTTGCCAGCTAGGGGATAGTAATCATTTAGTTTCTTTACGGTCTTACACAGTTATCTGTTAACGGAACATCTGTTCACTGTTTCGTTGTTTACTGAAAGGCACTGAACAGCACTGTGGCATTCCATGTTTGAGTGTCCAGATCAATCATCAGCCTTTTACCAGCTAGAATATGCTTTTTTCCTACCAACCCTGCATAAGCACGGCCATCCTGCATCAGACCAATGGACCATCTAGCCCAGTATCCCGTCTTCTGACCGTGGTGTCATCCACTCCCCACTTATTCAAATGGACTCTAGGCTTTCAGATAAGCTGGGATCCTCTTACAAGTCAACTGTATTACAATGTTCTCCAGGCCATGTTATGCCTCCAGCAACATCGCAGCCTTCAATGTAACCAACTGGGGCTTAGTAAAATGAACTGTTGATGGTTACAGATGCAAAATCCTGCTTAAATGTTTAACCAGTTAACTGCATCATAGGCAGGGGGCTGCTCTGGCCTGGCCGAGAGCCAGTTAACCAGTTACCCCAGCAGGTACGGCAGTAAGGCAATGCTTATCAAGTAAATGGTTAAGCATGTTACATCCTTACTGGCAGTGCACAATAAAAGGTCTTGAAAAATGAAGCTTGCATCTCTTTGCCCAAGGACTAAGCCATATGCTCCCAGATATACAGAAGGATAAGAATAGCTGTGAACTAGGTTACTATAAAAAACCGAGGGGTCCAGTAGCACCTTAGAGCCTAACAAATTAGACAGAATCATGAGCTTTCGTGGGCACAACCCACTAAGTTACAGACTAACATGGCTACCCCTCTGGGTTAGTGTATTGTAGTTAGCTTCACTGTCAACTTTATTGTAGCCCCTGTGATTTTATATGGACTCAGCTTCTCCTCTGCAATAGATTCTGGTGTATCTGCTTTCATTTTTCTGCCCTTTCATAAGCTCCCTTCCCCTTCCCCACCTCCTCTCCATGTCCCTTCTGAATGGCACCAGAGCCCTCTGCAGAACTAGGAAAATAGCACTGCCCTGGCAAAAGAAGAAAGCTTTGGTTCTGCAGGAGTTAACAGCGCTTGCAACAGGCAAGAGCCAATTTTTCAAGCCTTGCACAAAAAGGAACAGAATCTAGCTCGTTCTCCTAGAGCTCCTGGGCTACAAACAGCGAAGATTCAGTTAAGACACCAGCATGAACACTGATGATGCAGACTACACAGAGGGAGCGGGATGAGAAGGTGACGCTTACAGGTTAGAGTAGATCTGCACGCAACACTAAGGTCAGGAGAGGCAAAGCCAGGAGGTCCTCCCAGAAACTTGCTCACAGCACACATCCTAGCTATGCTCAGGAAATGTGTAGAGCCTGACCTTGCATAGCAGGAAGAACCTCCTGCGAAGGAATAGGCACCCACAACTGCCAATGACTTATGGCAGAAGCAGTACTGAAGTCTCCAATTTCTAGCAGCCCACTGCTTCCATGCAACAATACACAGCTGAACATTAGGAAGTATGATCTGAGCTAATGCGCACCTGTCTGTTTCCTCAATCTCTCATCAGCACCCTTCCCGCCCCCTTGGAAAGTCTCTATGTTCATATAGTCTTTGGACTGTTCACCTGAGTAGCCAGGCAAGGAGAGAAATGGGCCCCAGAGCAGGCAATCATCTGGGGGTACAGCACAGCTCATCTTAAACTATGGTTTGCCTACCTCTTTATGCACTTTTGTCCTGCTCTTTATCTCAGCTACTATCATTCCCACGATGGTGCCTCTGTAAGTGGCTCCGAGGGAAAAGAACTTCTTGTTGGAAGTGATGTCCTGATACCATGAGTCTGGGTACCTGGGAAGACAAAGAGCAATACCCTGGAATGCTTTGGGACACACAGCATTTCAAATGGAGCCAGGATCCTGCAGTCAGACTGCTCGCTGGAATCTGGCAGGGTTCTAGCATAAGCTGGACCAGAATAAAACTGCAGTGGGAGAGCTGCAATAAACACTCAGATGGTGAAGGAAGTAGTGTTGGCAGCCTAGTAAATGGCACCCTTCTACAAGAATCAGTAGATAGCCAAGCTAAGAAGCTTTGGCACTGGAAGGACTCTGTTTTGGATGAAGTTAGAACTGAGGCCTACACATGTGATCACTAATGATCTGATGGCACCGTTTGTAATAAGGTTGTTAAGAAGTGTGTAATTTGTTAATTGTGTAGTTGACAAAAATGTTGTTGACTACACGATTAATTGATAAGGATAGCACTCAGTCCCGATGTGTGCTGGCAACTACCCCCACTGTGGCTCTGCATGAAAAGTAATTTAGGAGCAGGACAGACAGGCAGCCCAGGTTAGTTCTGGGAGCTATCCTCAGCTCCTAAATTACTTTTCATGCAGAGCTGATAGCTCCTGGGATCCTGTGCAAGCTGGGGTGCCTGTCCACCGGGCTCCTAAATAACTTTCGCTGCAGAGCTGCAGCAGGGTAGCTCCCGGGACATGGTGCCAGCTGGAACTGAGCGATGCTGCTGGCCAGCCCTCTAAAAAGTGTACTGGCAGGGGCAGGCGGAGAAAAGAATGTGTGTAGTCGATAGCATTAACTGATAAGCTTTTGCCTATTGGATAATCGTCTACACTATTACATTCCTAGTTTGTAAGGATGTGAGTTTTAACCCAAGTGTCTGGGCCACATCCCATCTTGGCTAATTTCATTTTATGCCACCAGCAACCTGTCCGATGAGGATTTCATCCTTACTTGCGGAAACATGACTCTTGCCTCCCCAAAAGTAAGCTCTTACTGGGAAAAAAAGAAGCAGCTCTCTTCAAGATTTCCCTCTTTGTAAAATGTACACAGCTTCCTTTGTGAGGGCTTTGGGGTGTGATACTGACGGAACATGAGAGTTTATCTGCTCCTGCTGTTTATTCTCTCCAGCCCCTCTGAATACTGAGGGGCCTCTGGCAGTGCGGTACAAGTGATGTAAGGTTGGACTGGCAGTGGGTAATGGGCAGGATTGAAGTGCATCAGCATATGGGACAGTGTCCCAGAGCTTGCCTGTGCTCACAGCTCTGCACTTACACACCAACAGTTTATAGTCTCTCGGAACGCCCCCCCTCCACCAGGGAATGTCACATACTCAATTGGGAACCAGTCGCCGCAGAGCTGTTTCACTACATCTATGTCATCGTGGCAGAGAAGACGCAGGTTTATGTCACTAACTGCAGTTGGGGGCACCTCCTCTGTCATTCACGCCTGCAAGGGAGAAGGAAACATTAGAAAGGGTGCACCTGAAAGCTTCAGGTTCATTCCAAATACTAACCGGTCTGGAAGGCCAGATCGGGGCTAGGGGGAGTCTTCACTGCCAAGCAAGTCATGCTTAGGCCAAGCCGAGCTGTGCACCCCACAGGGAGATAACAAGCATGGTTTAAAAGAATGGATTCTGAAGTTAGTACAAAATACGTGGAAAAAAAAATAAACATGCTGAATTCATGACCCTCCCTCAAACTTCTTCATACCAGAACCGTGATTGGCTCAGATCTCAAATTATTAGTATTTATGACTCCACCCATCATGGAAATGTACTCTAGTAACAACGTAACCTCCTAGAGGGCCAAAAAAAAGTAGTTCTCAACCAATGAAAAACACCTTTCCTTAGAAGATAAAGTACAAACAGAAGCATTGATTTAAATCAGGATTTCAGTCACTGATATAAATTGGTCCACCCTGCAGGGACTGTCCAGTACAAGCCTTGGCACCATTTCCTCCCACCCCCAGATCAGTGCAATTATAGCAACGCTAAAATGAAAGTTCTCTCTTACAATGGTGTCAAATGTATTAAGTGCTAGGGAAGAAAGCAGCCAATAGGTGGCAGAGCGAACATACACCTCGGTATGCACAAAGGAAGCACAGAGCCAGGTTACAGCACTACTCAGAACAAGTGTTCTCTGCAAGCTGCCATGTGGCAGGTGGCCTAGAGTAATAAACCTGTTCTGCAGAGCCAGGGCAGTAACAGGTGAATGAAAAGCAGCCGCTCAGCCTGAATCCCTACAAGCCACCTTCAGTTATCAGTACCTCTGTGGGTCCCTCCCCCTCCGGTGTCCTACAGCTTCAGAGTTTCCCCCTATTACAGCAACTCTCAGATGAGAATCTGTGGAGCTCTAACCCAATTCAGGGCTCAGGATTTTCAAGTGCTTGTATGATGAATACTCAAAATCAACACCACCTCCTTTGGAGCAAGTCTCTGAACACCAGAACTGGAAGGGAACGCAGTGAAGGGCATAAAGGGGGCTGCAGCCAACATGGGTAAAATCCTAGAGCCAAACTTATGCACAAAACACAGGGAAATAGCCAAGCAACCATACCCATCACATTGCGGTGAGTTTATTTTCATCTGCTCTCTCTTATCCTGATCTAGTGATGCTGCCCCCAGGAAGGTATAGAACTGGGTGGGTGGCATGCCCCAGAGTATCTGTGTTAAGACATGGACCCTGTATTGTGGATTTCATTGACCTACAGCATGCACAGTCAGAATGAGCGATGAGATAGGATGCAGACAAGCCACTCACCCATCAGCAGTCACCCCTTTGGTTTGAACCCAGTGACAGCGTTAAGATCAAAGATGCCAATTGCAAGACAAAAGCCTTTTTCCTTGTGTCTCATGGCTTTGCTCACCCCTACTGCTTACAGGTACATTACCACAGATAATGGTACAGAGGAAAAGGCTGTCACCTTTAGAAAGCATGGATCAGAAAGTACAGGATTAGAATAAGGTACCCAAGAGGCAATGCATCATGCAGCCTGCATTTTGTTTAGCTAGAAATAGAAGGACCGCCAATGACCTCCTTGAATTGGGCCGGTCCACAGCACATGGTAGTTAGTGCAAACAGGGAGACAGCCAACAAAACTAACTAGTACTAAGAACCAAGGGAGTTACTGAACCTGTGGGAATCCCAGGAGGATCATGCTCTCACATTCATAGATTTTTACAGTCAGAGGGGACCGATGGATAATCCTGGTGACATCCCACTGAGGGAACTCCCAAAGCATAAGGCTATGACTGCACTGACATGCTCTCAAGATGTCCCCAGCTGGGCCAGTGTGAGCAGACACAATTCCACCATCTGGTCATGTTTCAGAGGGTGCATGTTTCTAAACAAATTCATTGCAGACAAGAGGTGACTGTCTCTCAGCCCTACCCACAGAATGCATTCAGACAGAGCAGAAGCACCAAGTGCCCCCAACCACAGCTCAACCCTTACCTGGAGGTCTCATCTTTTAGGCAGAGGGCAGTACATGGTCTATGGTTCATTCATTCTTGATGCCTCTGCTCAGAGTGGGCTAGTTAAAGCTAACTGTAAGTGTGGGTTTTTTTGTAACGCACATACCAGTTCCACTGGAAGTAGAGTGAGGCCAAAAATTCATTTCACACAGGCCACTGCGTAAGCTTGGTCAGTTTTACTGCCACGGGAGGTGTGGTTACTAACTCAGATAGTTTTACTGCAAATTTCACAATACTTGGTGTTTCTTAAAGCTTCAGTTCCCAGGTTCATATAACCAAAAATCTCTACTTAAAAAAAAGCTTCTAGCTCTCATATCCATAGAGAACATGACTAGAGTGTGTAATGCTTAGAAAGGGGAGGGGGGGGAGAGAGAATCCATTAAAAAATGTAAACCCAGTCTTCTAATTTTTGGAGGCCTAACTCATGATTTTGGAATGGTTGGGGATCCTGGGAAAAGCAGCATGTGAAAGCATGTGCATAATCCCTTACTGCTGAGATGGGGGCTCTGACCAATTTACAGGTGCTTTAGTAAACCTTTGATCCTAGTACTCTGAGGCGGAACAAATTCGATTCCAGTCCATGCTATGACTTTGCGGGGTGTGTGATTTAAGACAGTGTCACAATTACAAAATCATTTCAGTTTCATGGAGCTCGTTAGGGCTCTCAAATAAGAAGCAGTAGCAAGCAACTGCAGCAATGATGACCAATCCTCCAGGGAGCTGAGAACAACATCACATTCCTAGAAGTCCTTGGGAACAGTTATGAGAAAACATTTTTACAAGTTACGGCTGTACCGAATATGCTTTTAATTCCATTCTCTGCTGAAGAGCTTTTGGATCACTTCAAGACAACAGATACTGTCACAACACAGAATATTTCCGTCCAAGGCTAAAAGATTCCCAGGATTCTTGGCCCTTGGAATACGGTGAAACTCTTGAGTAAGGGATACAGTGATACTAATGCGAACAGCCTCCAGCCATGAGATTGGATCCCAGCATTCTTCCAGAAAGGTGCCTATGGGCTGCAGAAATGCAGTGGAAGAGTACTTGGAGCAGCTGAATATACCCCATTCTCACAATAATAGGAGGCTGCTGTAGCCTAGCGGACTGAGCATATGCTGGGAACCAGGAGTTCAACCACAGGCTCAGTGTGAGACCCTGAAAAAGTAGCAACATCTCTCTGAGCCTCAGATAACCCAGTGTACAACAGGGATAAATGTACATTCCTAGCCTTTAAAACACCTGTGAGATCAAAGGATGGAAAGCACCACACCAAACTACAGAGCATTATTATTAGTGTTTTCAGCAGTTCTCCCACTTTCAAGAACAAGACTTTGCTAATGCTTGTTAGCCCCTGTCTGTGGTGTGCCCCCGCAGGGTTAGTGCAGCCTACTGCCCACGCAGGCTGGTAGCTGCTCCAGCCCCCACTGGTTAACAGTTAGCCGGAACCGGTAAGCATCATCCATTAAGGAGATGCTTACCAGTCAACCTTTCACATCCCTAATTGTGACATGGTACACAGGGTGGCAGAGCTATTCAGGTTTGGCCCAGCGGCTGCTCCATCAAGATGGAGGCGAGGCTAGGCTGAACCTGAGTAGCACTGCAATCCTACACACTAGTTCACAATGGTGGGAACAGACGGCCCACCAAACCGCATGGAAAAGGAGCTGCTGCCTTCCCTTCTACCCCCCCCAGGGCCTCCACAGCAAACTGGGGACACGAGGGGGAGCTGAGCTACTCGCAGTGTAGAATACACATAATTGTGTCTTTTTGTGTGTTTTAATTAAAAAAATTAAAATAGTTTATACACACACACACACACACACTCTATCGCCCCCCCCCCCCAAATAAAATGCAGTTGGTAGATTGTATTAAAATTGGGAGCCACTGTTGCAGGGAGACTCTTTCAAATGATGTAGTAAAGGATTCTCCCACCTTTACCAGTTACAGAGCAGTTCAACTGAGCCCTCCTCTCCCAGTCCCCCCTTGCTTAGAGTTCTTGAAATATTTTGTTCTGCAAAGCACGAGTGGGGGTGGGAGGGCTCTCTACTAATCTAGGGCATTTGCTCACATGCATGAAGTACTCTAATATTAGAAGTACAGCTATCAACATGAAGGGTATCTTCTGGAACTGTGCTTGTTTACTTTGCTGAACAGTTCTCCCAGTCAGGTTTACTGCAGTGCTGTTACAAAAGAAAGCCTGCTGTAAACAACAGACTTTCATCTTGGTGAAAGTGGCTTCCCAGCGCTGGAGGCCAGAAAGAAGAGCCAGAAAAGATTCAGCAGTGATGATCTATCAGTGTGCTTGAGCACTAACCGGAGGAACTACCTGTAGGGATTAGATGTTCATTCCATCTTCACAGATGACTGAGTCTTTGGGCTCTGCACTAGGGGCCAACTATGATGGTTTGTGCCCCTCTTACAGCTGGATGCAGATTCATCAACTTTTTTCATACCTGCAGCACCAAGCAGCCAGCCCACGGCAATCATTTAATGCTCGGGGGTAGGGGATGTTTGAACTGTGGTGCAGTATCTACCTTTCCTCATGTGTTTTATCATTCCTGCAGAGCTTTGTGTTCCCTGAGAACACCAACAGTTCTCTGGTTAACACCAACTTTCAAAACCTTGCCTGGGTTTTAACAGAACAGAGACTAACACAACTCCATGTTTACTTCCTTATTTATGCACAAGCCAAAGAAAGGATGTGAGGGCAGCTCTCAGAAGTTTTTGACCACTGGATTCCTCAAGGGAGATCTGCTCAGCCAGCCAGCCTTTGGTTTGCAGTGGGATCCCCCTCTCACTTAAGCCAGTGCAAGAACACACCACTGCATGAAAAGGTGTTTTTACGTAGATATATCGATTCTCATGGAAAATTGCACAGGCTGAATCTCTCCAGTCTGGCAGTATCCGTGGTAGTTAACTGGATGTCCATTTATGCATATGGCCAAGTTCCCTGCAATCCCAAAAAGTTTGTTTACAGCCACCAGTCCTGACTCTCAGTGTTCTGTGCTGTTATTTAGCTCTAATTTACCCCCAAATGTCTTCTAAGAGCCAAGTATGCAGGGGAAGTGTTGGCAATGCTACTAGACAATATTGACCTCCCATGGTCCGGCACCAGTCAAGTCCTGAAGGCACCAGACTAGGCAGGTTCAACCTGTAGTAGAAACAAGGCAGCTTTTACATCAATGTAGCTTGTAGCATCAACACCATATCCCTCCCCTCCCCTCCCCACACACACTTGGAAAAAGGCTTTTCTAGTTACAATGAGGTAAGAACTATAGTGTCTTTTCTGTCGTAGGATTTCACCTGGAGAGAGCTGTCTGTGTAAACACACACCTTTTTCTTCCAATGAAGATACATCCTTAACTTTCTTTTGTGGTATCCTGGAGTAATACTGAGCTGCATTCACAGTTTCAGTCCCTCACCTGCTTATGAGAATGAAGCCAGAGAAGGAGAGGTTCACCCACCTGCGGCAGTGGAACTGCCATACTACTGAAGTCTTGTCTTTGGGAGGGGGAAAGTTTCCTTTTCAGTGTTGGGGTCTCCTCCTCTGCCCACAGAGCAGACTGAAATGCTCAACAGTCCCAGCTCTTTTATGGAAGCAGCCAGGCATGTCAATTATCTGCTTGGTATGGGTCTACCAGTTCTTTTGTTTAAATACATTGATGGGGTTTTGCCTAGCTTATTTTTAAAAACATGCTCAGTCAGACTTTCCCGTCACTCCCACTTACTAAATTAGTGGCCTGATTTTCAAAGGTGCTGAAAATCTGCAGCTCCCAGTGCATAACGTAGAGGCCCCCAAACTGTGGGGCACACTCATTTGGGGCTCAGCCCAGTAGTCCTCATGGGGGATGGGGAGTAAGCACCATCCAGTTTGGCCCTGTGCCCGAGGCCCCGGCTACACATCAACATATCAACACTTGACAGACCTTTCAGTCCATGACACACCACTGCTAACAAGGTATGAAACCAGTGAAAAGCGGCACAGAAGAGCCCAACGGGGCACTCCCTTGCATTCAGTCCACTGCCTTAAGAATAAGAGGACAGGAGAAATCAAAACACACGTTTAAACAGATCAGAAACTTTTTTTATGCAGCCTATAATTATAAACCTTAGGCTATTAAAGGAAACAACAGTAAGTTTCAAAAAATGATTGATCACATATGAGCATGAACAGCATAGCAGTGATACGAGTCAGACCAGCAGCCACCAGACCCATCAAATCCTCAGACATCAGCAGACTGCCAGTTGTATTCACAATTCGGTACTTTGAAGGGCTTTACATCTACTCCCCATATCGCTATTCTCACAGAAGGGACATTTGACTAGAAGGATCACTAGTCCTTTCCGATCTGGCAACTCCTCTGCATTCTGAAAGATGACAGCCTAACTTGTCTCTGAGCCAAGATACCAAAGGTGCAAGAGATTAAGCCAAAACAAGCAAGGACATAAACATCCAGTTACATCATATCACAACATTCAGCAACAGTCTCCAACGGAAACACAGTACTTGTATCTTATTACTACACCTTTTGGTCTGTGCTCTGCTTGTGTAATTGTTCCCAGTGTATCTCGCCTCCTGGGAATGCTTCAAGCTGGGTTTGGTTTGATTTGTATGAAACTCTCAAGCTCCTTCTACAGCAGCTGGGAAGGGTTTCAGTGTTCTCCAAGGGTGTGTAACTAGAAAGAAGAAGAATTGTTTCTGCTGGTGATAGATCTGGAAATTCAGAGGAAAGTATACTCAAGGAGAGCTATTGCCAACAAGGGGGATAAACAAACAGATCATGTTACTGTGAGAAGCAACTAAAGACAAGCATTCCAGTATGACTGTTTTCTTCCACGTCATTAAATAAATTAAAAAAATAGCATAGGGCCGAGAACCAATCCCCATGGAAGCCTATTAGAAAAGATTCCCCAGTTACAATTACATTTTGAGACCTATCATTTAAGCCAGCTTTCAATCCTTTTAAAGTGTCCTGTTACGTTTATATCGTTCTGGATTTTTTTTAATTACTCACCATACCAAGTCAAACACCTTACAGAAATCTAGGGATATTAGGTCAATACTATTATCTTTATCAACCAGACCATCATTATCAGTGAAGAGGAAGGTAAACAAGCCAGAGCGGAGGGTTGGGAGTGTCTGGAGATGTGAGAAGCATACAAGCTAACAAAGTGTAAGCACAACTCCCTGATCTGAACTTCTAGCCTCCTCCCTGGCAGTGGCTCTGCAGTATAAAGCTTATTTAGACTGGGGAACCAGTTACCTGTTCACATCCTGCTTTCAATGAAGCAAAAATATCAATGTCACTGACAATATAAATTATCTTCCTGTCTTTAAACCAAGACTTCACCAGCTCTTTTGCTCTCTAGCTACAATCTGAAGCTACACTACTCAAGTGGTAGATTGCGCTGAGTATCTTCAAAAGCAGACTGCAAGTGGCATAGCTCTGTTGTCCTGGATACAGCGATTCCCTCGGGGAATGGTGAGCAAGAGTCACTGAGAAGGTTTTGCTATTAAAGCTATTTTGGCTAGATATGGAAAAGAAACTTACTTTGTGACAACAGCATTAATGGGGGATGACACAAGAGGGTCAGATTAAAGCCAAGTTTACGGCAGATGATCTGCCAACACTCAATAAGGCAATTTTCCAATAAGCAGCTGCTCCTCCTCCTAATCCAAGCCATTCACCATGTATGCTGGGCATGCTGGTATTGCAAAATTAGAACAGGCACCAACTAAAAAAAAGCCCCGCCAGTCTCACTCTAGTTAACAGTGTACGCACTGGAAAGTTAGAACTTCGTGTCTGTCTAATTGAACAGGATTGACAGATTAGGGATGTTAACTATCAGGTTAGTAAGCAAACATGTAACTGCTTGAATTTTTAGCAGTTACATGTTGGGGGAGGGCACCTCTCAGGGAGCTGGTTTGCTCCTGCCTGTCCTGCCCCACAGAGACAGCAGTGCAGGGCAGAGAGCAGCTCTGCAGGAGCTTATATGCGTGGGGAGCTGGTTTGAAAGCCAGCTTCCCGCGTGTACTGGCTCCCTCCTGCCCCTGATATGGACAAGGAGTGTGGTGAAAGTAAGTCTGGGTGCTGATCGGAAAGAACTGGGGTTTGGACTGGTTGGGAAAAGAGACTAGGAATTTGTGGATGGAAGAAATAGGTGTCTGGGATTGAGAGGGAGTGGTGGTGGGGGTGGAGGGAGAGGCTATAGAGGCAGCTGGTTTAAAAGCCCCCTTCCAAAGGGCACTGGCTTCCACCTCCCCAACCTTTGCTGCCTCTGAGGCAGCAAGGGGTGTGTGTATGTGTATTCCTTAGCATTAATCAATAAGCCTGGGTTTATCGGTTAATCGTTTAAACAGCTATACGCTAACATTCCTACTACAAATCCAAGATTTAAGTTCCTAGGCAGGTATTCATATTGGTAGTTCTGGAGCACTACCCGTCAAGTGAATTTTATTAACTGATGCATACCATTGTAGAGGAACACTACCAAGTATCTGGTTATAGGTTTTTTTTAAATACTTTTTGCAATAGCCTCCAACAGGCTTACAGAGAATATTCCATGCCCCACCTCCATTGGCAAACACAGTCTTCTCCCAGATCTTGCATTTCAAATACAGTACCTACTAAAACGGCTTCTCTGATTTCTTCCCCGATGGAGTTTTCCAACATCAGTGATGTAAGCATGGCTCAGAGACTGTGCAGCTCTTTCAACACAGTAAGGTTTCAAAGTCTCTGGTACAGATTTGTGCTAGTGCCCCCAATTACCAGGCGAGGGGAGGAATTCAAAACGGAATGGCAATAAACTTTTAAAACTTGGATTATCTTAGTATTTCCTACCTTTTCAGAGGAATCAAAGATATATTCTATTAAATCAAATCCCAGAAGCCTTTTCACAATTCTTTGTATTTAAGGCATCACAGGAAGGTGTGCTCCAAGTATCACCAGGAATGATGCACATAATTTAAAGATGATTTTAGACTGTGCTAAACTTTGATCTTTGCAGAAGAAGTGTCTGGAATGAGAGAGAACGCCAGAAAATAAACTTAACAAGTTTCTTCATTCTCTCTTCTTTAGGATGTCCTAAGCATCATAAATGTAAAGTACAAATGGTAACCCTATGGATGCTACAGGTTAGAAGCACTAAAACCTGCATGTCTAGAGACTTATGTGGGCTGCTTTGCAGATTCCCAACAGCATGCACAGGATACTGCCAGACTGGGTCTAAGTATATTTATTTGTGCAGCACCAATCAAGTATTCTTAGGACTGAAGAAAACCCAGAAGTAAAGACAATCCTTGCCCCCAAAGAACTAACAGTAGGTGTAACAGAACAGCTGACCTGCTGCCTGATACAAAAACAAACATGGGCAATTGTCCACAGTCATGGTTCCTTTCAGTTTGCAACATCTGAGCAGTATAATCTAGACTCAGACTTCCATAGAGGAGACAATAATGCTTCTCAGTATAAAGATATCAGGATGAGGAACTCCGAATCTTCAAAGTGGCATTAACAGAAAACCATTTTCAGATTCTCTGCAAGATCTCAGCTGACATCAGGTACAATTTAGAAAGTAATGTCACACAATAAAAAAAGTTTTCCTTTTTAGTAAGAAGTAGCCTCATCTAAAGGTAGAAAATAGCCACTCAAAAGGGCATTCGAACAGGATACCTGAGTCATATTTAATGTACCACAATACAATTCTTTATTAATTACCAGTCAGATAAAGAAATCGGGAGTAATCAATTTTTTGTCAAGGTCCACATTTCTTGATGAAGGTCTATAGTCAAGGTGCAAATGCCAAAGAAGAACAAAAGCCATAATAAATAAATAAAAAGATTTCACAGTCTGTTCAAAAGCATCTGGTAGTCCAGGTTTGGCCCAGAGTCCACCTACTGACTGCTCGAGTTAAATCAGCGGCTTGCAAGCAAGACAACAAATTATCTGACCAAGAGTAACTAAAACCATTTACTTAAAATATTATTTTGGAACCCAGCCTTGTGGCAGCACTGAGGAATCATCAGGGCTCTTACAGGGAAGACGAGGGTAAGAGATTTGATCAGTCCATAAGTAAATCATAGAATCATAGAATAATAGGACTGGAAGGGACCTCGAGAGGTCATCGAGTCCAGCCCCCCGCCCTCAAGGCAGGACCAAGCTTCGTCTACACCATCCCTGACAGATGTCTATCTAACCTGTTCTTAAATATCTCCAGAGAGGGAGATTCCACCACCTCCCTTGGCAATTTATTCCAATATTTGACCACCCTGACAGTTAGGAATTTTTTCCTAATGTCCAATCTAAACCTCCCCTGCTGCACTTTAAGCCCATTACTCCTTGTCCTGTCCTCAGAAACCAAGAGGAACAAATTTTCGCCTTCCTCCTTGTGACACCCTTTTAGATATTTGAAAACCGCTATCATGTCCCCCCTTAATCTTCTTTTTTCCAAACTAAACAAGCCCAGTTCATGAAGCCTGGCTTCATAGGTCATGTTCTCTAAACCTTTAATCATTCTTGTCGCTCTTCTCTGTACCCTTTCCAATTTCTCCACATCTTTCTTGAAATGTGGCGCCCAGAACTGGACACAGTACTCCAGCTGAGGCCTAACTAGTGCAGAATAGAGCGGCAGAATGACTTCACGAGTTTTGCTTACAACACACCTGTTGATACAACCTAGAATCATATTTGCTTTTCTTGCAACAGCATCACACTGTTGACTCATATTCAACTTGTGGTCCACTATGACCCCTAGATCCCTTTCCGCCATGCTCCTTCCTAGACAGTCGCTTCCCATCTTGTATGTATGGAACTGATTGTTCCTTCCTAAGTGGAGCACTCTGCATTTCTCCTTATTAAACCTCATCCTGTTTACCTCTGACCATTTCTCTAACTTGCTAAGGTCATTTTGAATTATGTCCCTATCCTCCAAAGAAGTTGCAACCCCACCCAGTTTGGTATCATCTGCAAACTTAATAAGAGTACTCTCTATCCCAATATCTACATCATTGATGAAGATATTGAATAGTACGGGTCCCAAAACAGACCCTTGAGGAACTCCACTTGTTATCCCTTTCCAGCAGGATTTAGAACCGTTAACAACAACTCTCTGACTACGGTTATCCAGCCAATTATGCACCCACCTTATCGTGGCCCTATCTAAGTTATATTTGCCTAGTTTATCAATAAGAATATCATGCGAGACCGTATCAAATGCCTTACTAAAGTCTAGGTATATGACATCCACCGCTTCTCCCTTATCCACAAGGCTCGTTATCTTTTCAAAGAAAGCTATCAGATTAGTTTGGCATGACTTGTTCTTCACAAACCCATGCTGGCTATTCCCTATCACTTTATTACTTTCCAAGTGTTTGCATACGATTTCCTTAATTACCTGCTCCATTATCTTCCCTGGGACAGACGTTAAACTGACCGGTCTATAATTTCCTGGGTTGTTCTTATTCCCCTTTTTATAGATGGGCACAATATTTGCCCTTTTCCAGTCTTCTGGAATCTCCCCTGTCTGCCATGATTTTTCAAAGATCATAGCTAAAGGCTCAGATACCTCCTCTATCAGCTCCTTGAGTATCCTGGGATGCATTTCATCAGGATACATTGGGATAAGCTATTCCATACCAGAGGGCTCTTTAATCTAGTGGGTAAAAGTCAAATGAGATCCAGTAGTTAAAAGTCAAGTCTGTAACATTCAAACTAGAAACAGGATGTGCATTTTAACAATGAAGGTAATTAATCATGGGAATAGCTTACCAAGGAATGTGGTAAACTTCCTATCACTTGGAGTCTACAGATCAAGACAGGATGTTTTTCTGAAAGATACACTCCAGTTCAACAAGTTGTTAGGCTGGGTAAATGAATCACTGTCAAAACTACAGCCTGCAAGATGCAGGTCTGACTAGATCCATTCTGGTATTAAAACATGAGACATGAAGCCACTCAACTCTACACAGGAAAGCAAAGATGTGTATTGGAAATCTTGGAAGTGGGCTGAGTATATGGAGATGAAACTGGATGCTCGTACAGAAATAGTGTACTCGCAGAAGCCTTTTTTAATTAAAGACAGCCTGCAGATGTCTATGCACAAGCCATCTGCTGTGTTGTTCAACAAAAGGAAAACAAGTCAAACCACTGTACAATTCACTGCTAAAAGAAAAGCTGACAATCTATCATTCCAATGCTATAAGAAATGGGAAAGTATATGCAACAGGCAAGTTAGATTGTAAACTCTTCAGAACAGCAATATTTTATTTTATGTTGCACTGAAGCCAAGCTTAACTTAACAGGTTGCTCTCAACTCCAAGAGGAGAAAGGTGTCAGTGATTCTGAATATGGCACTCTGCTTTCTAAGTCAAATATTGAAGCATTCCCCCGTTCCTCCAGGCCAGTGCTAGTGGGCACTATGCTGAAGTGCAATCTTTCAGATCAAACTCAAAACTGAAATTAATCACAACAGATCTCATGACACATTATGAAAGAATGTGGTGTTCTCCTGGCATCCTGCTAAAAAATTTCAAGTTGCATGACTACGCTCTCCCAATTGACGCCTCCAACCTGCAATTTCAATGGACATAATATTGTTCGGTCCTTTTCCTAATCTGATGTAGCATTGCTGTGCACCATTACAAATGTGGCAAAAGTAACCCAGATGGCTGTATTTCAGTAGAGAATGAAAACAATTATTGTGTATGTAGATGTACAAAAAACCAGGACCCCCCCCCCACTTATTCTAAAAAACAGAACAAATGCAGCAGCAACATCTGAAAAACTGTAAAATTTGATGTAATTCTTTAGAATGAAAGACAATGGACTAACTAAAACAACCTCAGCATCACAATGTGTGTGGAGTAAGCTTTTCAGAATTAGAGTACATTTTACATTTTGTAGCTACTGCCTAATCTCATGTTAAAAGCAAGTTTTCCCTTCCCAATATTATAGCTAAAAAGTTGCAACTTACAGTAGCTACCAAATCAAAGCTTATTAGTCTAGAGCAGCAAACTGCACCTCCAAGCAGGAATCACCGTCTAAGAGTCACCATACAAGAGACAGCATGATGATTCAGAAACTCAGTTAACTAAAAAAAGCTCAATTTCTGAAAGCCTTTCTATTAACTATATTTCTCCCAAGAAACCTCGCCCGCTTTTGCCCGGGCCATTAGCCATGAAATAAACTGTAATGCCCTTTACACTTGTATAAACCTGTTCTAGTTCTCGCTCTAAAATACGTATTAGCCAATGGGCGTTGAAGTTTCACACTCGTACCAGATGGCTGATCAATCCTGAAACAAAACCCGCAGCCACTCCGCAGACACGCCCCCCGTCTGGCAGGGAAGTGGCATCAGCACTGTCCAGAGGCGGGCAGGCGCCCAGGAGCGATTAGCCGGGTTTCCTAGGGCGCTGGCAGGCTCAGGAGCGCGGGGCCGGACCCCGGGCAGCTCCGACCTTCCCCGGCCCGAGTCTGTCACCGACGCCAGGTCCCAGGACGCTCCCGCGGCAGGAATTGCCCGGGGGGAGCGGGCCCCAGGCAGGGGGGGGAGCCCCGCGTCCTCCCCA